CCTACGGGCACTGCACTAGTTGTTCAAACAAGCTGATTTGTATTGGAGACAAGTTGAAATGTATTGCCCTCACTGGGAGATGTTTCATGTTTAAAGAAAATGAGGCATTTTGGACTGAATAAAAGACTAAAAGTGCTTGATAAGATGCAGATTCGCAGTGTGGATCTCATTGCTTAGTTCTAGCATTTTTAAATTGTCACTAAATGCCCTGTTTGGATTTTTCTAGAACTTGAGAAAGTGATGCATCTGACTCCATGCCATGTGTTCATCATCAGTAGCTCAGACTGTATCACTGATTTAATTTGGATTTTGACAAAACTTGTGAGTGAAATGATCTCGCTGCTACATTCCAGCATTCAGAATTACACTGATTGGCCCATTGGGGAACTACAATTACAGCTCAAAACAAGATGCCATATTTGTTACTGATTGGCCCCTACAGGGTCTTTTTCATTCGTGCGGGATGACATGCTTATTGTTGCCTTGTTGAAACCTGTTTTGAAAGAAAACCTTCCTCAGGACTATGAAGTCACTGTTCATTTGTTCTTTCAGCCATCAAAAAAGCTCTCTTTTGAGCTTCTTACAAAATTTGTTTTCATTGGGGATTTTAGGAGGTTACAGTAGACATGAGTATGATTTTGTTTCTTGACACATTGCTTCAAAATACACAGTTTTTCCTGACCACTGCTGGGAGTTCTTACAGAGTCTAGTGGGGTTGTTAGATTTTATTTCTTGGCCAACCTCAGGGACCTTAAATATTTATTGTGCTCCAGGGAGAGAAATCTGTTGCTGACTCCTGACCAGACAGAGATGAATATAGGCACAGGGAGTACAGAGAGGTTACTGTAGGTGAAAAGAAAACAAGGTGCTCAACTGTACTGGTTTTTGGCCAAATTCAAACAAAAAAAGGAAAAGAGAATGCATAATGATTCAAACTTCTTCCAGAAGAACTTCTTCACACCTTTTATTTGAACTTTCTGTCAATTTCTGCATTAAATGTTATACCTTTAATAGTTATACCGTTATACCCTAAAGCACTAGTTCGACATTTTGGGAAATGCACTTTTTTCCTTGTTTCCAAGAATTAGATGAGAAGATTAAGCAACTCTCTCATCTGTTCAGTGAATATGAAGTGACAGACAGCAGCCGGTTAGCTTAGCTTAGCACAAAGACTGGAAACATGGCATGCCTGGCTCTGTTCTACTCACACCTCTGATGCTGAAATCACATGGATTCAGGTAGACGGCAGACGGACAACACCTTCTGGACAGCACGGGAAAAACAGATAAGCAGTTGGATGGGATGACAGGGTGGCAAAATGAAATACACATGGCAATCTGTGATGGTGGTGTTGTGTTGTTCACAAAGAATACAATAATAATTATAATAATATAATAATAATAATATTTAATATATTTAGTGTACATTGTTTAATGTAATTATTTTATTATTAGCTTCTCATTGTGTAAGGGAGCTAAGTATCCAGTTGTAAATTCCAGCATTGAGGTCCGAAAACTAACTCTTACATCCTGTCCTTGTCCACTAAAATTATATTCAGTTTGCCGTCTTCTGAAGATATAACATAGTGTGAAGTGAAACAACATCTTTGTAGACCAGTTGTCACAGTGATGACTCCAGGAAGAGCCAGGCAAGCGGTTTTCCTGTTTCCAGTCTTCGTGCTAAGTAAAGCTAACCGACGCTTTTCTCCAGCTTCATATTAAACAGATATGAGAGTGATACAATCTTCTAACTCTCAGCATGAAAGTAAATAAGCACATTTCCCAAAATGTCAAACTATTTTTTTTAAATATAACTGCTCATTGTGGTCTTTTGTTGCTGTTTTACTGCAGTGTCTTGGGTCCAGCGTTGACCTTCAGAATTGGGCCCAACCCCAAGAACGTGACCACTGCAGATCTGGTTCAGGTTGCAGGTAAGAGCAAATCTTTTTTCTTATATCACCTATCGCAAAATGATCCTGTTGACAACCTTCATTGTGATTCATCTCATTTTCACTAGCCAGACCACTCTGTCACCGTCTGTGCTTCAGTAAATGAGAACACAGATTGGTCTCTCTAGATACAGTAGATAGGCTGGTGTTCATCTTGTTCAGACAAACCCCTGTCCCAAAGAAGATTATCAACAGTGTGCAGTGACAGATGACCATCAATTACTGAGATGATGAGTCTAGTGTGCACACTTCTCCTTTCTACACACACACATACACTCATATACAGTGTACAGGAGAGTTTATTTGGTCTTCTATTATGTCCAACAGTCTGACAGGTTGAAACAGGTTTGCACCAGCCAATCAGTTAGAGTGTATCCTCTTCTGTTTGTGTGTGCCTGCATGTATGCACTTGTTTGATGTAGACTGATGGAGAGCTGTCACCCACAGAAAGGAGGGTTGTCAGTATGCACTGCCTCCGCTCCCCTGTTCATTGTCTGCACTCCGATCTGCCCGGCATTGGTGTCGGTATGTGTGTGTGATGTGTGTGTCGATGTCCTTGCTTTGGTCGGAAATGACTTTGAGAAGCACAGCAATACTCCCAACAGTCAATATCATCCAATATCACCCCACTGGAATCAACATGGTGGTGTTGTTATTGGCTGAAATGTGTTGCTGCTCCAGTTTTTCTGTGCGGCGACATTTTTTGGCACCAACTCGTTTCCTATTAGGGATGTGCTGGATGATGGCTGATGATACAGATTTACCGCAAGAAAGGTTGGGCCGTGGGTTGAGCTCTGGTTCATCGGTTTTGAGTGTGAGTTTTTGTACGTGTGTTTGCTGGATTACAGTGTGTATGTGTATGTCTTCCTCACTGTCATCCCCTCCCTTTTTTTTATGTTTGTTTAACAAAATCAAATCAAATTAGCAAATATTTAAGGTGCTGTAGATTTATCTCTTCAGCATGTGGTGTAATAATTATACTGTATCATAATATCCTGTCTTTTTTCTTTTTGTTTTTTATCCCTTTTTCTACGTCTTTTTTCTCTTTTTTTTCCTCCTCTCTTGTGTGACTGACTTTGATGAGGTGGCGTGTGGCGAGAACTAATGACAGGCATGAGCACGGCTGAAATGTCAGACCAAATGTTAAGTCAACATGATCATCAGCCTGACCCATATTGATGAATTATGAATACAGCCCACCTGAATAGTGATTTGCAAAAGGCGACAGAAGGAGCTTATCAAACTACTTATGGTTCGGATGCATCGCTGTTCAATCCCAAGTGACCATGGGTTGCAGCTCTGAAATGTATTAAAAATGTAAAAATGGCGCTCAGAGATAGCAGAGTGGTTAAATCCTCTGTCTTTGTGCCTCCACTGACCTTAGATCAAATCCTTTATTTCCTGTGCCCCCCTCCTACCTTGTCTCTCCACCTCTCTATTTCCACCACAGTGTGAAGTGAAGTGGAATTCCCTGTGTCTCCCTGATATTAAAAACAATGTGAAGTGAATGCAGAAACTCTCATTTTGGTGTTTCAAATCCTTTTTAGCGATACCAAATGTGCATCCATGACATTGAATTCAAGATGGCAATGGCATTGTGTTCAAAGTGCTTAGCAGGTTGTACAACAACAGCATGGTTTAAGGTATCTGAAAATCTAACTGACACCCACATGCAGTGGCCACCTGGGTAATCCTGGCTGACCATTGCCTTATGTGTGACTGTGCATAAATGATGTGGCCTCTTAATGAACTCATCAAAACCCCTGCTGTATTCTGTCCTAAACCTGCTGCTGAGAGCCTGCACAGCATGCGGTCATTAAATTAAAAAAGTGTAGAATGCTGTTGAAAATATTCTTCTTTTTAGATGATTAGCATCTTACAAGAGCAGATGTCAAAGTGCTTCACAATAAAAAACAAAAAAGCAAATAAAAGACTTTTAGGAATAACGTTTAGGAGCTACAACCTCAGAAACAGTCTCCTTTTCTCCTGAGCCTGGAGCGAGGATCAACCAAAAAGCCCTGACTAGAGGACCTCAGATTGCTATTTCTAAGCACAGGTGATGTAGGGCTTCTGTAGGTATTTAATGTAGGTTGGTACCTGCCCATGCAAAACCCTTAACATGATCATAAGAATCTTGATGGGAATCCAGTGTAAAGACATCCAAATTAGTGTCACAGGGTTACTTAAGATCTTTTGGAGGACTAAAAAGCTTGGCAGCAGCATTTTGTGAGCAGTCCAGGGAAGTCTT